TTTTTTTTTTTTTTTTTTTTTTTTTTTTTTATTTTGGGCTCTTAAGGACTAAACCTGCTACCAAATTCATTACACATTAATGAAGTACACTATAGAGAGCTATACAAAATCATCAGTGTCCATTGCTGCATAAATGGAATTCTAGACATGGTACAAATTCTACAGCCAAAATCCTAAAGTCCTAAGGTTACACTGAGTATGTAGGGTAGGGATTTATTCATACAACTTCCATTAGTGCTTAAATCATCTTGACTATCTAATGAAGAGTATCAACTGTATTTTTGATCAGTCTCAACTGGATACATGCTTCTACTTTCCTCATTCCACATATACTTAATGTCAAAGTTTGTCAGAGCAGCACATTTCTTCTTTCCCCATGATGGTATTTCTGCTGCCAGAATTAAAAGGCTTAAATCAATAGTTGGTTGAACTACCTCATTTTTAGGTTAATGAAAATTTAAAATACTGAAGCCTCTACTCCCGTCTTTAATTAGAACAAGATTACTGAAAGCATATGCATGTAAAAATTAATTTACAGCTGTCAGTTGGCTTCCTTGCAGTCGGTTAATATATTCAGGGGCCTTAAAAGGACACGTTGTAATTTAAGCCCAAAATTGGACCCAGTTTTATTCTCTTGCATTCACAAATTCAGAGAACACTCTTGTGATTTTTGCCTGCCCTGGCTATATGTTCGAGTTACTGTCCTCTACTGGACGCTCGCCCTTCTTGCCTGGCCTTCACGAGATGGAGCCTGTCTTCCAGGCTAAGCACCTCCGCTCCCATTGACTTCAACAGGAGCTGCAGGTGTTTGGCATCTCTGGAAGACCAAGGGTAAAACCTTGATCCCACCGAAATAAACAGAAGTTGACTTCAGTGGAGCCAGGTGCCCCTGAAAAATTATACACTGGTCCATTTATTATCTCCTCCTCTCCCGTCCCCCCCCCCCCCCCGGTCCATAATCTCTATCAGCCTACAGTTAATGGAGAACAGCTTTTCGGTCAGCCCATAGAGGTTATGACTGTGATCCTTGATGTAGAGCACACATAGCTTAGCTGGTGACCTTCGGTGTGTCCTCGCAACCAGGGATTTGTTATGGGACAGGGATTCTGAACCTCTGGGTTGCAAGACCCCCTAGTTGTTTCAGTGGAGTTTTGACAACCCTCCCTATTTCTCCCTTTCATTTAAGGGAAAAAAAGTGTATATAGCCCTTATGGTTTCAAAGATCCCTGCCTGAATCTATGGGCAGCCTGAAATAAAAGATCTGAGGCGCTAATTGTCACACTAACCTCCGGCACAGCGATGTCCATTCGGTGGCAATGGGGTTTGACTTTTTTTTTTTTTTTTTTTAGTATGCCTTGAAATTTGGTCAAGGTTGTCTCTTGTCTGTCTTGGGCCTGCCTACAGCTGCATCTTGCCCTTCCCTCAAGGGGTGTTAATCACATTTCACGGTATGCTCCCTGCACTGTTCATGGAGCGCGGCGGCAGGCTGGTATCCTTCACTCCTCTTCTTCCCCCTTTGGTGCATCTGTCCCTCTGGTGGGCTCAGACCCACGCACACATCAAAATGCTTGTTATTTATTGTGATATCTACAAGGCATTGTCTCAGTAGCTGGCAAAGGATTCTGGGGTTTGTGTATGGCCACTAAAAGAGAGAAGCACTGGAGCAAGAATTATCGTTACAAAAGAAATCCACTGAATTCCCCCAAAAACATGTGGGTTCACAAAATCAGAAGCCTGTTTTATTAAATGGCAACACTATAATCATGAAGTCCTCCAAGAGTCAGACTTGCTGTTGCTGTGAACAGTGAAAGTGGACAAGCCACATGTAACTGGGGAGACACTGATTGTGCCCTGTCTTAAACGTTCTGTTGGGATCTGCCAGTCAAGTCAACGCAGTTCCCATCTCCAGCGATGCAGTCTGAGAACAAATTCTTGATGTTGCTGCAGAAGTTTAGGAGCAAGTGTCTAGAACAATTCAGGAGAGCCAGTATTTCTCAACCCAACTGGATGAAATTACAGATGTGCCTTTTGCCTAACTCTTAAATTTGGTTTCAGAGTGAGGAGGATCCATACATAAGTACTCTGTTTTTCGGTATACTGACAGGTGGAGGAATTTCTTCAAAGCTTTCCAACAATCACTTCTAGCAGCTGGGTTGGATTGGCACGGTTAGGTTGGTAGCTTTGGCACCATCCGTGCAACTGTGACCAGAAAATGGCAGCCTTGTGATTATATAATCCAGTCTATTGCATCCCAGGCCATTTGGACACCTTGTTTAAATTACTGGGAAACTTCAGCAGCAAAGTGGATACTAGTGGGACTGAAAACAGTATTTGAGGCTGTAGAAGTTCAACACTGTAGCAAAGATAGCCAGGTGGCATGCCCTGGACTTCATATGATGAAATAGACCCTCTGCATCAACAGTTCCTCCTCTGAGTTCAAATGTGGCTTTCATGAAGCAAAGTTCTGAATCCCGTGCCTGAGCTCAGAATGCATGAGATCTCCTTGCTGACATGGCTCTGCTCTTGCAGAATATTTCACTGATCAGCACTGACTTGGTCTGAATGCTTCTCTCCAGGGAGGGACTGAATAGGATGTGGGTTCTCAACATAAGGGGTGCAAACAAGTGTAATGGGCTTGCAACTACCCTACCTTTCTGATATTGCTAAATGGGCAGGGCAGCCCTGGGGTATGGAAAAGGCTGAGAACCAGTTATAGGGGATTGTAAAAGTACTCCTGAAGCGTGTTGAAAGAGCTACATCTCAGGGGGCTTGTGAGCATTACTCAGGGTATGTCTACGCTGCGAAGTTGTCAACAAAACTTTTCTTTCACGGGTACTTAAAAAAATTTTTGCTGATGCAAGTGGCAGTGTGAACGCGGCTTTGTCAGCAGGAGCGCTCTCCTGCCGACAAAGCTAACGCTGCTCGCGGGGCTGGAAGTATTTTGTTGGCAAATGCATAGGCGCCCACTCCGGGGCTGGAGCACCCCCGGGGAAAAATTGGTGGGTGCTCTGCACCTACCAGCAGCCAAGCTCCCCGCGCTGCCCCAGCTCGCCTCCACCTCCTCCCCTCAGCACGCCGCGCCCCCACTTCTTCCTCTAGCTCCCAGCACTTACCACTGTGAAACAAGCTCCAGGAGGGAGCGGGGAAGAGCGGGAATGCACTCGCTCTGGGGAGGAGGCAGGGAAGGAGGTGGAATAGGGGCAGGGAAGGAGGTGGAGTTGGGGCAGGGTTGAATGCAGGCGGGGCAGGAGTGGAGTCAGGGCAGGGCCGGGGCCAGAGGTGGGTCAAGCACCCACCAGCAGAAGTTGGCGCTTATGGGCAAAAGTACTGACACAGAGCGTTTTACACAAGCTGACTTTTAGTGACGAGTCTTTTCACTAAAAGAAGCATGGTGTAGACAAGTCCTCAGTGTTTGAGAAGCAAAGTATTCTCCCCCTCTACCCCAACCTTTTTTTGTTTGTTTGTTTGTTCCCCCCACCCCTCCCAGAGGGGAAGCTGAAATGGGTTGTGATCTGCCCCTGGCCAGAGGGGGAAGTCACTGTCAGATGTGGTCTAAGCACAAGATTGGGAAACAGGAACTCCTGGAGTTCTAATCTCAGCTCTGTCAGCAGGCAAGCATTCTGCCTGCACAACCTCACAATAACTAGCGTATGTAGGCTCAGTGAATTCCGATAAGGAAAGCCTTCCTTGTAAGCTTCCGGAGGGGTTCAAACAGGTGACAAACATTTTGAAGTAACAGAAAATGCAATGTCTCCTTTGCTACTTAGAATGTAAGTGAGGGCTAGAAAATAAACACTTACAGGGCAGACGGAGATACTGTGCTTTCTTGCCCTGTGCTTATCAAAATACAGCACTACTTGATTGTAGGGTGGGTTAGACATTCCACAGTGATAAACTCATTTTCTTGATCAAATATTTAAACGTGTACAAAGAACTCCAACTTGGAGCAGGAGTTGGATTCAGAAATTATTTCCTGGACCGTCTCTACATAGGAGCTTGCCCTGGCTTAAATAAACCTTCCTTTTTCAAATGAATGTAGTCAAATCAGTACAAGTCAGTACGTAGACAAGGCCATTGGTAGTAGATTTTAAAGTAAAGTATTGCTTGATATTAAAATCCTAAAATATCATGATTACTAAGTGGCTTTTATATTGCTCCATAAATGGTAGACATATTTCAACAGTAAAACTGAGCCATTGGAATTCAGCTGAGTTGCTGCAGAATTAAATTTCCCTTTCCTTGCAGCTCTGTCTCCTGGTTCAGAAGGGGCATGGCTCTCCCTCGAGTATCAAACTCCAGTATAATCCTGGCAGTATCAGTTTAGAGGAAGCTGACAGATGTGAACCTCCTAAGATAGAAGCGTATCTTCCTGCAGGGACCAAAATGAGCCTCCTTGTTGGGACAATATTTCCATTTTGGTATCCTGAATATTGTACTCTGGAATGGTCATGGCTTATACTACACATCTTCAGGTGGGCTCTCACTGAAGTCAATGGTAAGATTCCCATTGCCTGCAGAGAACAGAGTTGGCCTAGCCAGCAATGAGTACGTCTGAGAATTTCAAACTTTGTCTCTTCATTAGTTGGCTAGTGCCTAGTGATCAGGTTGACGAGAGGCTGCTCTTCAGAGGAGCTGAGCACCCACATCTCCATTTGACTTCATTGGGAGTTTCCATCTCCTCTGAAAATTGGGCCTTTTGGCCCTTGTTCTGCCAGTTGCTGAAGTGATTAGCAAGTTAGGAGGTATTTCTATCTAGCTGCCTGAAGTATTTCTAATGTGCCTATTGCTGTAGCTGGCTTTTCTGGCTATATGCCCTCCTTCATTTCTGCATGCAAAGCCAGTTTTGTTGGGAGTGGTGTACACACAAGTCGCTGCAGTCTGTGATGCAAAGAATTTCCAATATAATTTATGCTCGTTTTTTAGTGCTGTTCCTGGGATCAGTGGACCTTAATGCAGATTGTGGAACCTGGAATGTTAAGGTCTTCAGTTACATCCCATTTACACTTAAAATGCTGCATTGGCGCAGCTGCAGCACTTCAATGAAGACGCACTCCCATCGGCGTAGTTAATCCAGATACGCAAGAGGCAGTAGCTATGTCAGCAGGAGAGATTCTCCTGTCGACCCAGCTCTGTCTACACTCGCGCTTAGGTCGGTATAACTACATCGCTCCAGGGTGTCGATTTTTCACATGCCTGCGATGTAGGTATATCGAAATAATTCTGTAGGGTAGACCAGTGATGAGCTCCCAAAATCCTAATAACCGGTTCCCTACCGGGTCCTCGGCAGCACTTTGGCGGCGGGGGGAGGGCCCTTCACTCGCTCCGGGTTTTCAGCAGCATTTCAGCGGCAGGTCCTTCACCCGGATCGAGTGAAGACCCCGCCGAAGTGCCGCTGAAGACCCGGTAGGGAACCGTGCGGTGAGTACAAGCCCCATGTGCCTGTCTTCCCGCCCCCCCCATCCGACCCCAACCCACTTACTGCCCCCCTCAGAACCATCAACCCCCCCCCCGCTCCTTGTCCCCTGAGTACCCCCTACCCAACTCTCCCTGCTCCCTGTCCCCTGACTGCCCCGACCCCATCCACCACCACCCTGACAGACCCCCTGGAACTCCCACGCCTACCCAACCCCTCCGCCCCTCCAACTGCTCCCTGCCCCTTATCCAACCCCTCTTCCCGGCCCCCTTACCATGCTGCTCAAAGCTGCAGAGCTGCCCAGAGCACTGGTGCCGCGGTTCACTGGGGCTCTGCGAAGGGGGGGGGAGCGGGGCAGGGGCAGGGCAGGGGCCGGGGCCGGGGGAGCCTTCCCAGCTGGGAGCTCAAGCGGGCCGGATGTGGTTTGCCCACCCGCTGGCCCCTTTACAACTGGTTCTACACCGGCTTCTAAATTTAACAACCGGTTCTTGCGAACCGGCTCCAGCTCACCGCTGGTGTAGACCTGCCCTCAGTCTCTTACATGTACAGTTTGTTCCATACTTGTGCCTTGTCTGGCCCTCAACTTCTGCCTTCGTAACTGCACATTACAAGTAGGCTGCTCTGTAGCATATCCAATGACCACAGATCCTGTAGATTGTACCTCTTAATCCACTGGTCACTAAGCAGACAGTATGTATGTACCCAGGATTCTTAGTTGCTGCTTATGGATATAGGCAGGAATACCATACATCTGGACTATTCATCTAGAGCTACATTCAGTATGTGTAGCCTCAAGGTATTAAAAGGAATATTTCAACAGACAATCCTTTTTTGAGAGTTCTTTAGGTTTTGTATGGCGGTATCGGACATGGAAAATCAAGGGGGGGCTTACCCTTTGTAAAGAGCTAACATTGCTGAGAAATAAGGTTGATCTCTTTTGAAGGAATTTTTCTTGTGAGGCTTAAGTGCTGTTTGTTTTACTTGTGTCAAATTCCCCTAGAACTTGCTTTCTATTGATGCTGTGTACACCAGTGCTTGCAGGGGCCCCATCTCCGCCCTCTTTGTCCTTTGTGCTAGGTGCAGAACAGACAAAGTTCCTGCCCCAAAGATCGCACGCTCAAACTCGAGAGAGAGGGTAGAGGAAAGGAAGCACTATTACCATTGCCCGGATGGGGAGCTGAGAGACAGTCTTTCCCAAGGCCACAGTCAGTCTGTGGCAGAGCCAGAAATTGACCCAAGATGTCCAGAATTCTAGTCTAGCGCTTAAAGCACAAGACCATCTTTCCACTCACTGTAGCTTGACTAAGCTTCCCTTGGCCTAGCGTTGTGCCTTGCTCCAACTAAAGCTTAGGGAGTGTGGAGACACACAAAGCAACCTACAGTTTCCCAGACTACTCCGGATGGTGTAAATTTGGGTGCAGGTGAGGATTTGGCTCTACCTGTTGCAGCCATTTTACCTGTTGCTCTTTTCCACTCCTTTCAGTAACTAAAAATGTCGTGTGTGAGGTAGAAGGTAAGAAGGTGGAAGGATGAAGTGACACCAATATATCTTTATTCATAATTTTTTGACCTATTTAACATGGTCTGGATAATTAAAATTTTATTTTAAATGAGGGGAGACACATGGTCGGGTGGGAGGAGGACCATTATTCCAAGTAGCCATTATCTTGCTGAAAAATCTGCTTCTTGCTTCAGGTGCCGGCAGAAGTTGAAAAATGTCAGGACCGAGTGGAATGCTTCAATGCTGACCTGAAAGCCGACATGGAGAGATGGCAGAACAACAAGCGCCAAGATTTTAGGCAGCTGCTTACGGGAATGGCCGATAAAAACATCCAATACTATGAGAAGGTATTGCCCTGAGCTTCAGCAGATGGTCTCATACAAATAATCCCTTTGAGTGACTTGCAGTCAGGGGTGGCTTTCAAAAATTGCAAACCCTGTGTTGTAGTAAGAACTAGCGCTCAGTGTGAGGACTTCACATCAGGTGTTTAAGGTTTTTCGGTTAGCTGTCGAATCAGTAAAGGCTCTTGATTAGCCTGTGGCTTCTACTGAAAGTTTCCGGTATTACCACTTCGTTATGGCTTGAGCTGTAAATCATTAGACAGTGGCTAAATGGAATAGGGGCAATGGAGTTACACAAGGGAAGGAATTAATCCAGTAATTGACATTTTCTACCGGATGGAGATTTTTTTTCCACCATCCCTTATGTTTTGCCCCTTTTTGTCTGGACTTGATGCTGCTAGACTTGTCTGACAAGCAGGAGCATGTGTACCAGGTGCTGCCTCTGCTGCCAGGTTAACTTGGTCCTGCAAATACTTACCGTTGAGCTTATTAGAGTAAGGAAGGAGTCTGTGCCCCCCTCCTGCTTCCAACTTTCACTGAGTCACTGGAGCAAGAGCCAAATATGCTACATGGTCCTATGGGAGGATTCCTTATATGTTAAGGAAATGGAGGTTGGGGAATAGCAATCTTAATTTTATCCTTGTGCATCATGATTAACTTTTGGCTACTTGATGTACTGGTTCTGAAATGCAATATTCTTTTTTCCCTGCAGCCTATGCTGCATGTGTAACATAATTTGCCACAGTAGACGGTCTCTTGTTATATAATATCATTGATGCATCTTCTATTATGAAATTACTATAAGGTGAATGTGGGTGCACAACTTTTTGAAAAATCACACTCAGAGTAGTTACCAATAGTTCATTGTTAAACTGGGATGATGTATCTAGCAGGGTCTGTCCTGAGTCCAGTACTAGTCAATATTTTAATCAGTGACTTGGATAATGGAGTGAAGAGTACATTTAAAATCTGTGGCTTTCACTAAACTCGAAGATATTGCAAGCACTTGAGGACAGGATTAGAATTCAAAGAGATGTTGATAAATTGGAGACTTGGTCTGTAATCAAGATGAAATTCAGTAAAGTCAACAAAGTACTTTGCTTAGGAAGGAAAAATCAAATGCACAAATGCAAAATGGGGAATAACTGGGTAGGCAGTAGTACTGCTGAAATGAATCTGGGGGTTGTAATGTATCACAAATTGAATATGATGCAGTTGCAAAACAAGCAAATATCATTCTGGGGTGTATTAACAGGCATGTGTAAGACATGGGAGATAATTGTCCTGCTCTGCTTGGCACTGCTGAGGCCTAAGCTGGAATACTGTGTCCAGTTCTGGGTGCCACGCTATAAGAAAGATATGACCAACAGGAGAGAATTCAGAGGAGAGCACCAAAAATGATAAGTTTAGAAAACCTGACCTCTGAGGAAAGGGTTAAAAAAAACTGGGCATGAGATAAAAGGACAGAGGGAGGACATACATCTTCAAATATGTTAAGTGCTGTTATAAAGAGGATGGTGATCGATTGTTCTCCATGTCCACTTAAAGGTAGGACAAGAAGTAACTGGCTTAATCTGCAGCAAGGGAGATTTAGATTCGATATCAGGAAAAACTTCCTTACTATAAAGATAGTTGAACAGGTTGTGGAATCCCTGTGTTTAGAGGCTTTAAAGAACAGGTTAGACAAACACCTATCAGGGATGGTCTAGGTATACTGGGTCCTGTCTCAGGACAGAGGGCTGGACTAGATGACCTCTCGAGGTCCCTTTCAGACCTGCATTTCTATGGTGGTTCATTATTTATTATTTGTATTACTGTAGCACATAGGAGCTCTTACAATATCTATGGTTCTTTACTTCATTCACTGCCCATCTTAGCAGTTGTGCCCTACGAGAGCACAAAAAAGGTATGAGATAATGTTGTTCGTTTAAATGCCATTGTAATCTATATGCATGAGGAGGGCAAAATTAGTTTTGGCACTTCTTGACTCGAAAGCTGAACCCCACAGCCTGAAGGAAGTTTTTTAATAGCATTTCCTAGGTTTGCTTTAAAGGAAAATGATTCTGTTGTCCAGTACTATTTAACTAGGCCCTACTCGAATGCTCTGTTCTGGGCAAGGTGTGCTACTGAAAGTGGGAGTTGCTGACAGGTGTGCGCTGAATGAGTATTTGGGTCTAAGTAATCATAAAAATAAGCCTGGAATGAAAACTACCTGTGTTGCTGCCCCCCGTTCGGTGGCATCTACCTATGTTTGTAGGGATTGGGGGTGGTCAGGTTAGTCAGAAGCCTGGAACCAGGGTCAGCGTCCGGTGTTGCACCACGGGTCAAAGCAGGAGCGAGTGTCGGGAGTAGGCTAGGAGGAGGGACCTGGAGTGAGTCAGGCAAGCAGGAACTGGGAGCAGTCTGGGATAAGGACGGCAGAAACAGCCTGGGAGGCAGGAACCAGGAGTCAGGCAAGTGGACCAGGGTCTGTAGTAGCAGCCAGCCAGGGATTCACCTGGTTGCTTGGACAACTTCCTGTGCCTCTTTCTAGCTCAAGTAGTGTGACCCAGCCACCGATTGGCTGGGACATCTCCCCCAGTCAGGAGCTTTGTGGGCAGGGCTCTTGGTGAAGGATCATAGGCCTCAAACTGAGGGTTCCCAGGCAGTGCTCAGAATGTTCTCCCCCCCCCCCCACCCCCCTGTTCCCTGCACTTCACCCAAACCAGTGGAGAAGGGGACTAGCGATATCAGCCTTGTGTTTAGTGCGTCTTTAAAATAAATGTCGTTTAAACTCACTGCTTTGTTACACCTTCCCCTTACTGGCTTTGCTCTGGTTTTCTCTTTCCCCCTCCCCCCATCCTCTACGCAATGTGTCTAATTCCCTACAAAGTATTCTCTAGCTCTTCTCTGACTTTCTTCTCTCTCAGAATTTGCGTCTCCATGTTGTACCTAACTCATTAGACAGATTCTCTCACACATGGGGCTTGAAAACGTTACCTGACATCAAGAGTTAGATTTCCCCTTCCCTACTCCCAAAGAGCTCACCCTGTTGGGGATTCACCTTGAAAATCTGGCATCACATTGGGAGCTACTGGGTGCTGAGCACCCTAAAAAACCTTGGCTCTTACTGAGATCCCTAGGTGGGAGTGGAGCTCTCTTGAAATTCTGGCCCCTAATAGCCAGAGGAGTGAGGTCCAACTTTTTAAAGGTACTTTGGCCTCGCAGCGCTGCGTGTTGCAATGCCCAAGTCTCATCTCAAACATTAATAAGATTAAGGCTCCTAAGTGCCTAAATCCCTCTTGAAATTGAGACTTAGGTTCCTAAATCCTTTGGGTGTTGCAATGTTAAACAAAGAAATGCCAAAATATCTTTAAAAGGCTGGGCCCAAGCCTGTTAGATCTGCATGAAAGATGTTGCCCTGGATGATGTTTCATTTGCATAAGAAACCCCAGATAATTGGATTCCTATCCAGAGGTGTCTCTGGATCCTAACTAGATACTCAGCATTTATTCTGCTAGACAAAGGCTTATTTGAACAGTGAACCCCTATAGGTGCCAGAAGGGAAGTAGGAGCAGTTTCTCTGTTATGTCTTTATCACTCTGCCCAGCCCTAGGGCATAGACCCAGTGTCTGTGTCTCTCTGCTTAGAGCTTTACCAAACCGCTAGTTGCTGTAGGCTGCTTCACAGCTGTTAGAAACCATCTTTGCCCTCAAAATAACATCTTACAAAGCCACTAGGGAGCCTTTCCTTGCCACAAGGAGCCTGAAGCTGTGCCCATTCATGCTTTCCAAATATTGTCTGGCGTCCTTTCAGTTTAACTTTGGAATTTCTGAAGTTTCTAATCATTTGGAATTTTTGATGACTAAAGTTCTTCGTGTCCCCCTTAACTCCAGCCTAGCAACTTCTTTTGTCTGGGAATTTAGAAAACTGTTTCTTAACTTCCTGTCTTTCGAGCTACTAAACTGATGGCTAACAGGACCACGCTTTGTGAGACCTCTTAACTTGCATGTCTGAGTGGTGGGACAAGAATGAGGAGGCTGTAGTATGTAATGTAGTCCTATTTGGTTTTTTTTTTTTTTTGCAGTGCCTTACGGCGTGGGAGTCAATTATACCACTATTACAAGACAAACCAGAGACCAAATAAGAAGCTCCATAGCCCACAGACTGCTCTACACAAGTGCACAGTACCACTAAACAACCTACTGGAGCTGTATGATGCACTACTTTGTTGAGAGTTACCTGAGAAATGCCAGCTATGCCTAGACTGGTACAGACCCATTGAAAAGCATTTGGACTTTTCCCTCTTTTTGTGTTAAGATGTTTCATCTTTTGAGTTACCGTAACGGTTCCTTCTCCAGCCTGTGGGGTGATCGTGGGCTTGATACACAGGGATCAAGTCGCTTCTTGATAAAGAAAACTTTACCTCTTTATTCCAGAAGGAACTAATGAGTGGAATACTAAAACGATGAAAATAAAACTCTAAACTGCAAGGTGCCAATATGACATCTTTATTACCATCCTCTTTGTTTGCTAAATAAGGGTTGATTCCCATGAAACAGTGCCCACCAACCCACCCTTCTTTTTTGTGTGTTTTGTTTTTTTTTCTTGATGGAGAGGGAATGGCCAGAAGTGGACACTTACTACAATTAGTTAACTCCCTGGATTAAGCAATTTTGGAGCTGAATCTTTGTGTGGGAGTTTGGGCTGGTCCTAGATTAGAACATACTGACACTTCTGCAGAAAGCTCATGATGCAAGCCTGAACTGTGGTTCATGTGTGTCATGCACTCTGTTCGTATTGAATATTTCATACTCATTTGTTTACCTTTGGTGATATGAAGTAATGTAAGTTGGCTGAAGCGCACATGTGACAGATTTGGGGATCAAAGGAGGACTGGCGTGCGTGGGGGTGGGGGTGAGTTTATGATGTAGCCTTACAAAGTGTGTGATGGGAACAAACACAAGTCTGTTAACCTTTTATCCCCAAAGCAAGCACAGACAGTTCTGTGATAGGATTCTTTGATCCATGCTTTCACTTGTTTTCAGACTATAAGCTAGATGGGAATCCCTCTGAATCTCCCTCTGGCCTTGATCATTTAAAACATACCCATCGTAGTAAGGATGGGTTCTTGCTTTTTGCCCTTTTTCTTTCACAGCAGCCAAAACCCCCAAAGAGTCAAGTGCTTGCTGACACCAGGCATCATTGTGCATGTGTGAAACTTGCCTTAAACATGTCAATGGCAGGTGATAGAGGCAATACCTTCTTTTCCCCATTATGTACATTTAGTGGTCATGCTTGTCTCTATTGATCCTCATTGAAAGGTCGTCTTAAGAGTTGCCCTTTTTAGGTATAAATCTATTTTCCTACCAGGTTTTGTCAACCTTATAGTCTGCAGAATCTTTTCCTTTCCGTATCCAGTCTCTCCAGTTCACCGCCTTTTTTGCTCTTTAGTACCTGCCAAAGGAAAGAGCACTGCCGAGATGGGTTACAGATACTTTGAATCTGTTAAAAGTCTTCGTTTGCTGCTTGACCAGCTTGTTTCCTCCCATAGGAACTCCAGGGTTTAATTATTTTGGCAAACAGGAGTGTAATATTCAGGATTCTAGGGTCAGCAAACAACTTTTTATTGTTTTATATCCTCTCATTTTCTACCAAAGCTATTGGAATGCTCAGTCGATCCCCGGCACCATTCTGGCAAGGAATCCAAAGTTTAATTAAAAAAAACAACAACTCAATTCTTATTTGTATCCCATTTACAAAGACCATGCAAATTCCATTTAATTTGTGGATTGTCCCCAGCTAAAATAAATGCTATAAAATATGAAGTTTCTTCAGGTTTGCATAGTCTGTTCAAACAACTATTACATAAAAGTTGTGGCTGTTAAATTATTAACATGGGAGAATCATAAAATTTGTCACGGTTAAGGCAGTTTTTCTACTTGACCATATCGCTTTCATTGATGTAGTTTTGTGATTCTAAACCTGCAGTTCCAATTTGTCAGCATACGTTTGCTGGGTGAAATCAGGGACCTGGCGTCAGGTGGTTGGTTGAAATTGCAGCATAGTAACAATATTGTGGTGTTAGAGCAAGGGAAGACTTTAGTAAGAAATGATTCTCTAACAATCTCTGATTATTTTTTTTTCCTCCCTTAAACCTTTGTCTTTTTGTCCTCTCTCCAATTGTTTGATATTAGGAATTGATAATTAAGGCCTATTTGATTTGCTGGGGCATATTGGATAGGAATTGCTCTGATTTGCATTCTGTGCTTTTTGTCATTAATTCATATAATTTAGCATATGAAAATGATAGAAAACAAAAGGTTTCATGTGGTGAAACCAGAGAATTGTTTAATCCCTTCGAATACAGTTTCTACCCTGTCAAATTGGTTAGGTTTTTGAACATAATTGTCTCTGAAACATCAGCATAAACCTAGGGTCAAGTAAACTTGTCTTCAGTCTTTCCTGTTCATTGGGGAAGTTGATTAGGGATTGAGAAATGACAGCTTTTTCTAGCACTGTTCTCTCACAGAATGATCAACTAAGCTGCATTTCTGCTGAGCATTAAAAAAAAAAAATTAAAAAAAAATGCACTTTTCCACAAGAGAACATTTGAAAAATGCAGTGGTTCTGTTTAGAGGGGAGTGAATTTAATCAGTTTCCTTTTTTCTTCTGAGTTCCCATGTTCATGCCTTTTGCCCTTCAGATTTAGTTAGAAAACTGAAGACCAGTCATCAGCTTGTAGTTCCAGGGGCTTGGTTCTTTAAGTACATTTGCCATTTCTCAGAAAATACATATTCTACAAGGTACTGTTAGCAAAGGACATTGCAGTATCAGGTAAGGATTGTCATGGGTAGCAGGGGAGCTTTTATAGTTTCACTTAAGGCATTTAAATATGGTAACAATTTCACCTTCTGCAACAGTGGTGGGGTTTCTGACTTTGACTCCAGTCAACATACACCTAATGTTTTACCTAATACTTACACTTAATGTTAACATTGTTCTGCTGTACAGTCTCTGAAGCCAGTTGATCTTTAAATCACTAATCAAGTGAATGAAGTGACTTCACGCCTTGTTTGTTGTCAAGCAAATGCCTTTTGCAGCTAAGCCATTAGAAAGCTGGCACTTTCTCTACAACCAACCAAATGAATGGCTTGGAAGGGTTCACTGTAAGTACACATGTATCTGGAACCCCTTAAGGGGGAGATATGTGGACTGCAAGTTTGGGTCACAGATCAGAGGGTGCAGGCCCTAGATCATGTTGCAGATTGGCTGTTGCTCTAGTGTGAAGCAGACACCACCTGCTGCCATGTTAAAGAACATAAATCATGGTTTAAATTAGAAGCAAGCTTTTGAAACGTGTTGCAAAAGGGGAGTTCTTGCCTGTAACTGCAGTCATAAGAGCAGGATACCGTGTGGTGGTTCCCTCTTAGACGCAACTAGCCTGTTGCTGAGTCTGTCTTAATGAACCCTCACAATATGAACCATGTGACAATGGTGGCAAGCCAGGTATTGTTCAGACTATGAAACATGAGATTTTGTGCAGCGTGTTAGTAGCACAGAGTAGCCCAACTGACTTACAAAATGACAGGTGCTTTCAGGGCTGAATTCAGTTGTCACAAGTGACTTGTTCCTGTTCATGCTGCATCAGATCCTACCCCTTTAAATGCAGGTTTAAAATTCTCTTGCAGTTCATGGTATATGTGTGGCTATCTCTTAGGGCCCATGTTTGGCAGTGTGTAAATAGTCTCACTAATTTGTGTGACTGTAGAAAAGCAAGCCTTTCACAAATACCGAGCAGAAATCCACTGAGAGTAACTTTGTTCCACTCTTTTTTTTCCCCTTTAATAGGTGTTTAAGCATCGTTCAGTACACCAATGGGCCTTTTTCTGTATATAGAGATTGATCTGGCTCAAAAATTGAGTCTCTCCAATATGGGGCCAAACTCTGATCAACCCAAACAGCAGATACGCACTCCGCAGAGATGAACTTTCTGTGGCTTGGGCCCATCCACAGCTTTAAAGCGTCTTGCATTTCCTTTTAACAAATCTTGCTCCACAGCTGCCCTGTGGTGCACACTGACCCAAGGCGTGTGCAATTTCTTGCTGTCTCTCCATCACTTCTGATAGGTGTGCAATTTGGAAAGTTGTGACTCTCTTGAAATGGCACCAGCACATCCAGGCAAGCACTGTTTAGCTCTGATTTTTATATATAATCTAAAAAGGGGTGTGTGTGTGTGTGTGTATGTATGTATGTATGTATGTATATTCTCTCATCAGGATTTCACTGATGCAATAAACTTGGGAGACTTAAGAAAACACAAAATGATGGCCTTCTCAAGTAATCATTTAAAACGAAAGCTCTCCAGGTCTGCTCCATTTCATAAAGCAGTCAGCTCTTTCCTTTACTACTGGTAGTTACCAGAGGGTAACTTGTGGTATGTTTATACTTAACACCAAAATGATTTTGTCAAGGAACTTATCAAAAAATGTGATGGTTGTGATAGAGGGAGGAAAGGAGGTGGAAAGAAAAAACAAAACTAGGAAAAGCTCAGCAAGGGTTTAGGTTGTGTGAATGTGCAGTTTATCCATCAACGAGTTACTGCATTGGCCTTTCACCTCTGGAAACATGGCTTCAAATATGGCTTCAGTGCCAAGTGCAACTTGATGGCCTCCATCACAAACCTTTGTCTGCATCACTAAACCACTGCACACACATTGGCATAAATGGAAGGCCCTATGGAGGGTCTACAGGTAGAACTGGCAGTGTTGTAGAGGGAGCTCTGTGGTGGTGTTTTTGCATAGCCTGTCCACACTTACTTACTTGTTTAGGACTTGGTCCTGCAAATAGTTACGTATGTGAAGGGTTCAGTTCAATTCAGTGGGACGATTTGTGTATGTTTGCAGGATTGGGGCCTTAATCCAGTTTACCCATTTAACTCAAGAAATGATGCAAAATTAAAAGAAAATGGGCTGCAGAATATTAAACGGAAACTTTGTCTTCAATGGGTGGTGCTTTTGACCCAGCGTTTGTGTGTGCAAAACTGTGGGCACAGATTCTGAGTTTTATTTAACAAGCTGTTTGATGTTCAGCCGCCTTAAACACTACAAGGTAGGGAGACAGCCTTCTTCCTTTTTGGGTTTAACCAGCTTTTTTTACTATAAACAATTGAAGGTCATTCGAGAAGGGAAATAACTTTTTTTTTTTTTTTTTAGGGGAAAAATTACTAGTATTTGCCAAATACATTTCTGATAATGTGAAACTGGGCACCTCCAGAATATTTTGGTCTTTTGGGGATATATGAAGGTTTAAATAAATATTGATATTTTAGATGTATTTTTGTCACTTTTTTTAAAAATTTTGGTTGGAAGGAATAATAGATCATTGATAAATACCTGCTCGACACTACAGTTTTGGCAGGAGGTATTTGATATATAGAAATAGTCACAATTAACAGTATTAGTTTTGGGTTAAGGCAGACAGTGCTTATCAAAATCATAGCTTTTTGAATAACTCCTTCTTGCTTAAACTATAACACCAAAAAAATATAAAAATCAAGGGTGCTTACGTCCTCCTGGCCCTGGATAGCTGAGGCCCTAAACCTACACTCAGTGGTACAGAGAGACACTTAGGTCAATAGTTGTCATGGGGACAAGGTTCTACCTACACCGATTGCAGGATCTGAGCCAGTCACCCACACAGCATACAACTAGGTGATGCTGGGTTTTGGTATGCAACCATGAATGATCTACAGTATTTCATCTCTTTTGTGGGTGGAGATTGGACAACATTGTCCTGTTCATTCTACTTCCTATGTGCCTGCACTCATGGCTCCCTTTAACATTCAGGGGAGTTTACGCCATGAGGCAAGTCGATGTTGCCATGAAATTTAACTTCTGCCAGCATATTTTTAGGAATTCATCCCTTTTGTCGCTCAGCGCATGACACCATGAATGGAAATGTTGCTGCCTAGGTGCCCAACCAGTGTACTGTATTTTTGACTTTTGTAAAATCGGTTTCTAGAAATTTTTTGTTTTTTCATACTCTGGTCATCCTCACATCTCCTCCCATACCAGGATAAACCAAAATGAAAGCTGTGAAGACTTGTCGTTGTGTGTGAATTAGCTAGTGGATGATGTACAGATTGGAGTGGTTTTTGTTTCCTACACTCCCACCAAATTTAACTTTTTTTTTTCTTTTCTTTTCTTTTCTTGTTAAGCTCACAGGATATTAAATGTCTTTGATTTCAGGTGCTGGCATGTTTCTGTTCCTTTTCATTTAGCTCTGTATAAACATACTCTGTGCATTGTTACTATGGAACTAGTATTGATAAAAACACTTCGAGGTAAACTTTGTAATGCTTGATAATTATTAGTGTGTACATTTTTTTTTAAAGACACTGTTTCTTTACCTCAATTAATTTAAAGGAATGGACCAATAAATGTATTAAAGGATGATTTCTTTACTTAAT